GGACCTTCGAGGTGCCGGCCGCCGCCCCCTTCGGCGAGGCCCTGGGCGCGCGCGTCCGGGCCAGGCTGGGCGGCGGCCTGCGCGTGCGCGTGGTGCTGGCGTCGGAGGACGGCCAGGCCCCGCTCGTCGTCGTCGTCGTCGTCGTCGTCGTCGTCGTCGTCGTCGTCGTCCTCGATCCTCGATCCTCGATCCTCGATCCTCGATCCTCGGTCCTCCTCCTCCTCCTCCTCCTTTTCCTCCTCCTCCTTCTCCTCCTTGGTCCTCCGCCTCGATCCCCCCCATCTCCTTCGACCGCAAGATCCCACGCGCGCGGCAGCGTGCGTGGGGAGGACGAGGATAGGGAATCGAGCGGGAGGAGGATCGATGAAGAGGATCGAAGAGGTGTAAGTGTCACATTGAGGCAGATCGAGGCTCGGGGATCGAGGAGGGCGAGGGGGAGGAGTAGGAGGATCGAGGAGGATTCATAATGATGAGAAGGAGGAGGATGCTGATGGTGATGATGCTGCTGCTGCTGATGATGATGATGATGATGATTATCGTGATGATCGAGGAGGATCCAGGATCATGAGTCGAGGCGAATGATCGAGGAGGAGGAGGAGGAGGGGGATCGAGGGTCGAGGAGGAGGAGCAGCACAAGGAGAATCGAGGTTCAAGGTTCGAGGATCGCCCCAAGGGGCGCAGCCGTGCAGCGAAGGGGGCCCTTCGGGTGGCTTGTGCGGCGCGGGGGCCGGGCGATGGCCCCGTGATGGCGGAAGCCCTCATTGCCATCTCGCACAGCCTTGAGAACAGGGGCCACGCGCGCACGATTGTGAGAGTCGTGATGCCATCACGCACGCGGGTCGGTCTACGGGGTACGTCTGCCGTGTGTTGCTCACGCGTCGGCTGGAGAACTGCTCGGCCCCGGTGAGGCGCGGAAGTGCTGCGAGGGCTTCTCGAAAAGCCATGCCTGTCGCAAGAAGCCGTTAGTGGCCGTCGGCAGGGTGCTAGAAGGGGAAAGCCTGCGCACTCACTCAGACCAGCCAGTCTTGCATGTGCCAATGTTTCACGCCGTCGTGTCTAGTTTCTCAGTGTATCTGGGGGCCTACTTTTTCGGCGATTGGGACTCTGAGGCAACGCTGCTGCTCCTCCTCCCTCCCTCCTCCTGCCTTCTCCTCGTCCTTCTCGTAGGCACTATGGATGGAGGACCGCAGTGGCCTGCTGAAAGCCCTGATGAGCTACCTGGGGCACCTCTGCGTGTGCAGGGTCCTGGCCATGAAAGCCCTGCTCTTAGCTGGCCCAGATCCCACGGCTCGCAGGACGAGGAGGAGGGAGACGGAGGAGGAGGATGGTGAGGAGGAAGAGGAGGAGGAGGAGACTGAGGAGGAGGAGGAGCAGGAGGACGTGGAGGAGGGGGACCAGTGCAAACCCAAGGCGCATCAACGGTATTGCAATAAGCCCTCCCTCCAAGTTCCCTCTTCATAGGCCCCTTTGTCTTCATTGGGGGAAGGGCCCCATTCGGAGACAACCGTCTGAGGACTCCTCAATCGCTCCAGAACGCAATTCCGATGATTCCTCTCGCTTTGCGGGGTGCATGTCGGGAGCACAGGCAGTCCAGTCATTTCGGGTCCTGGTAGGAGCCTCTTTGGGGCCTCTTGGAGGCCACTTGGGGGCTTCTTTGGGGCCTCTTGGGGGCTTCTTTGGGGCCTCTTCGGCCTCTTGGGGACGTCTTGGGCCGTCTTGGGGCGTTCTTGCGTCGTTTGGCCCGTTCGGAGGCCATCCTGGGGGCCTCTCGGCGGCCGCCTTGGGGCTCTCAAGGGGTCCTCTTGGGCCGCCTTCGGGGCCTCTTGGACCGTCTTTGGGGCCTCTGTGGGCGGTCTTTGGGGTCCTCTTGGGCCGACTTGAGGTCCTCTTGGGGGCCGTCTTGGGGCCATTCTGGAGGCTGCTTGTGCCGTCATGGGCCTCTGAGAGTAGAAAGAGGCGGGAATGCTAAAATCCCCCCACAACATTCGGACAATTAATGAGTTTGGGGCCCTTTTGGGGGCGCTCTTGGGGGTGCTCTTGGGGCCCTCTTGGGCCGTCGTGGGAGCTTTTTGGGCACTCCTGGGGCCATCTTGGACTGGCTTTGGGCCGGCTTGGACCGTATTGGGGCCATCTTGAGCCGTCTTGACGCCCTCTTCGACGTCCAGGAGGCCCAAGGGGCCGGTCCTTCACGTTTGGGTTGACGAGGGTGGCGCGGCCTCTGGGGGGGGGGGTCAGGGGGGCGACATAAAAGTGGACAGGAATACACATGGTACAACATGTGCACAGCAATACTTGGATATCTTGGATTCGTTGCATTACAGCATCCGCGAAAACGCTGCCGCTCAGCACGTCACCTCTGGACGTGGATTCCTCTCGCTACGCGGGGTGCACGTCTGGAGAACATCCAGTCCAGTCGTTGTGAATCCTCTTGGAAGCCTCTTGGGGGCCTCTTGGAGGCGTCTTGGGTCCCTCTGGGAGCTTCTTGGGGGTCTCTTTGAAGCCTCTTGGGGCCTCTTGGCGGCGTCGTGAGCCGTCTTGGGGCGCTCTTGCCCCGTTTGGCCCCTTCCGAGGCAGTCTTGGGTGGTGGTGGTGGTGGTGGTGGTGGTGTGGTGGTTTCTGGTGGTAATGGTGGTAATGGTGGTGGTGGTAGTTGTGGCTGTGGTGGTGGTGGTGGTGGTGGGTTGTTGTGGTGGTGGTGGGGGTGGATGTGATGGTGGTGGTGGTGGTGGTGTGGTGGTTTGTGGTGGTGGTGGTGGTTGTTGTGGTGGGTTGTGGTGGCTGTGGTGGTGGTGGTGTTTGTGGTGGTGATGGTGGAGTGGTTTGTGGTGGTGGTGGTGGTTGCGGTGGTGGTTGGTTGTGGTAGTTGCGGTGGTGGTGGTGGTGGCGGAGGTGGCGGTGGTGGTGGTGTGGTGGTTCGTGGTGGTGGTGGTGTGGTCTTCGGGTCTTCCCGCCACCGTGTTTTGGTTTTGGGTCAAAGTTCTCATGGATGCCTCTTGAGGTCTCGTCAGAGGTGTCTCGGGAGCGTCTAAGGAGCATTTGTTGTTGCTTCCTGGACCTTCCCAGGGGCCTTCTGGTGGCTTTTGGGGGGCGAGGTCTCGATATGGCGATTTGTGCTTCCCCTTTGCGGCCTTTGGGCCCTCTCTGGTCATCGTCGCTGCGTCCCCGCCATCGGCGCTGCTGGCCGCCGCCAGCGACGGCGCCTGGACCTTCCTAAGGGGCTCCCGGTGGCTTTTGGGGGGCCAGGGCTCGATATGGCGATTTGTGTTTCTCCTTTGCGGCGTCTGGCCCCTCTCTGGTCATCGTCGCTGCGTCCCCGCCGTCGGCGCTGTTGGCTGGCCGCCGGCGCCAGGGGGGTCGGGGTTGCAGAGACGGGGGTCAGTGCAAACGGGGATCAGCCAGAGCGCCGGATCTTGCAGGATCCTGCAGGGCCAGGGTCGCGTTGACCCGGGCTTGGGTGAGGGGGGGGGTTGGAAACCCCGGGGCCCCCCCCCCTTTGGCCAGGGCGGAGCTCTGGGACGGGGGTGGGGGGAGGGGTTTGGGGACGGGGGGGGGCCTAGTAAAGGGGAGAGGGGGTCCTTTTGGTTTTGATCTACGACGACGAATGTTGGGCCCCTCCCGCCCCCGGTTCGAGACGCGCCGCCGAACGTTCCCAAGGCAAATGCCCGTGAAACGCGCTCTCTCATCGGCTTTGGTCGGTATTAGAAGCCCAGTAGGATACTCGATCTCAGGGTCGACGGAAGTGTCGTGTCCTGGGAGGGGTGGGGTAGGGGGGAAACATAACAATATCATACAATGCAGAATGTAGCGAGCATGTAGGAATGGGGTGCGTCGCAATCTTTCAACATTGGGGTCCCTCTGGGGCGTCTTCGGGGTCTCTTTAGGGCCTCTTGGGCCCTCTTGGGGGCGTCTTGGACCGTCTTGGGGACGTCTTGGGACGGCCGTCTGGCCTCTTCGGAGGCAGTCTTGGGAGCGTCTCGGGGCCTCCTGGGGGCTCTCTTGGGGTTCTCTTGCGCCGTCCTGGGGGCCTCTTGGAACGTCTTGGCCTTTCTGGGCAATATTGAGGCCTTCTTGGGCCGTCGCGAGGGTTTTTTGGAGGCCACTGTGGTCATGTTGGGACAATATTGGAGGCTGCTTTGCCGTCATGGGCCTCCGAGAGCTGAAACATGCGAGAACGCCAACACCTTCCACAAGCGTATGGGATTCATTGCTTGCGGGGCGCCTTGTTGATGCAATCTATGCAGAGCAATCTACGTGGTGCAATTTAGGTGGTGCAATTAATCTCTGTTCGCGGTGAGTTGTCCACTCCACTGCTCGCGCAAACATCCCGCCCACCCACCCGCAACTTGATTTGCAAAATCTCTTAAGACCGTGACGGTGGGTACGAAATGACATTTGGCAACGACAGCGACGCCGACGACGACACCGACAACGACGACGACGACGCCGCCGACAACGACTACGACGACACCGACGACGTCTCCTACAACTTCGACGACGCCGACAACGACGACGACGACGACGCCGACGCCGACGACGACGACGATGACAACGACGACGACGACGACGACGATGACGACGCCGACGACGACAACGACGACACCGACGACGACGACGACGACGTCAACGACGCTGACGACGACGACGACGACGACGGCGGCGACGACGACGACGCCGACGTCGACGACGACGAAGACGACGACGACGCCGACGCCGACGCCGACGACGCTCGCCAACGAAGACGACGACGAGGGAAGAGGGAAGACGACGACGGCGACAACGACGACAACGACGACAACGACGAGGGAGGAGGGAGGACGGCGACGACGCGAACGACGAAGAAGGAGGAAGGACGGCGACGCCGACGACGACAACGACGAGGGAGGAGGGACGACGACGACGACACAACGACGACGACGACGACGACGCGACGAAATAGGAGGGGCGACGACGAGACGCCGACGACGGACGACGACGACGAGGGAGGAGGAGGAAGGACGACCACGGCGACAACGACGACGGAAACGACCACGACGCCAAAGAGGACGACGACGACGAACACGAGAAAAGACAGAGGACGACGTAGGCGACGACGACGACGACGACGCGGGAGGAGGGAGGACGACGACGACGACGCAACAGCGCGCGCGCACGCTTTTGTTGAAAATCCGTGTTGCGAAACCTTGTGTTTTTGTAGGTTTTTTGGACACACGATGTTGACATCCTTCCGAAACCGATTGGTTTTGAAGGATTTCGGCATACGCGCGCGACGACGCGCGCGTCTGCATTTGGTCCAGATTTTTGCAGAGGATTCTCTCGACGGCACACGCGCAAGGGCGTTCGACAGATTTCGACATGCGCGCGCGCGACGCCCTTGTGGTAGCGTTTTGTGAAATCTTGAAAAACCAATATTTTTTCTTAAGATTTCGCAAGAGCTCGCGCGTAAGCTTTTTTAGCACATCAGTGTTGCGAAACCCATTTTTTTATAAAAAAAAACTCGATTGCGAAACCCTTCTGGTATAGAAGGTTTTTGAAGGATTTCGGCATCCGCGCGCGACGACGCGCGCGAGTGCACTTCGTCCCATGTTTTGCAAGGGATTCGCGAACAAGTCTTCGGGATTCCCCGCGTATGTTTTCACAAGGGAACCTCAGGGGGAGCGATACCGGTTTCCTTGGGATAGTGGAAGTTCATATTTCGGATGGGCATGTGGTCATAGTCATATTGGATTTACATGCCCGAACGGGGGGGGCGATAACGCGGGGGGGGGGGTAGGGTCTATTTTTTTAAGAAAGGATAATCTACGTGGTGCAGTCTTGGCAATGCAGTCTATGCGGTGCTATCTACGCCGTGTAATTTACGCGATGCAACCTGTGTCATTCAGTCTACGCGGTGCAACTAATCAGCGCTCAACTTGAAATTGTCCACTCCACTGCTCGCGCAAGCATCCCGCCCACCTACCCGCAACTTCGTTTGCAAACCCCACGCGGCGGCGATCGCGATGTGCGCTTGGCGCTGGCTGGTGCATCTCTGCGGCCGCGACAGCCCGCGCATGCGCGCGCGCGGCGGCCAGTTAGTTTGGCGCGACCGACGTAGCCGCAGTGGCGCTGACCGCTGGGCACGTCCCAGCGAGCACTTCAGTGCATGTCGGCGACTTAGGCGGGCGCGGTGTCCTCGCAACGCCGACAGCGGTAGACGCGATGATGGTAGTAGCGATGCTGGTGGCGATGCTGACGGCGACGACGGAGCGGCCAGTGACGGC